GGACAACATTGCTTCCAGATTCAATTGCTTTGCCTCTGATGAAGATCAACCGTGGTACTGCATTAATAACATAAGGATCTCTCTTATATTTTGGGGAAATATTAAAGCCACAATGTTCATTTCCCTTTGAAATTAATTAAATATCAGCAGGACTTCTGAGCAGAGAAAGACCCCTTTCTTTAAAAAAACAGTAACAAAATGAAGCTCCGTTTGCAGCATGATGTAATTTCTCCCCCAGGAAGGGTTTAAATGTACTCATCTGCCAGCCACAAAGCAAGAAGATGCATAAAACTATCCCATTTTTATCCACTTGTGTTCCCAAACTTAAAGGATATCTAAAGATATTGATGTCTTCTGAAATATCCTGCCAGGATCTAAGCCATGTAGAAAAGCAGTTAGGAACTAAAATTAAAACGGGTATGGTTCTTTGGTCTGTCTCCACAGTTGTATCTAGGTTAATTTTTTAAAAAAGCCTCAGTGACTTTCAATTAATTTATTTAGACGTGAATTGGTGCAAGTAGTTTTCTCACACGGAATGATATGCTATGCACATAAGCACAGTAATCTAGAAGTAAGCATCAATCGCTATACATTTCAGTTGTCCTAGCAAGTTTTGGGATTGCAGGTGCCATAAGTCAATTTCAAACACCCACTAACACACTTACATGGTTACTGACAACCATGGGAGAGAAGTCTTTATTCTGCTATCCTAGCCAGCAGCAGGGCTACCTGCAGACAAACAATGCCACAGCCATCCTGATTTGCAACTCTGCTAGCATCCTCAGGGCCTGAAGCTACAAAACACTCTCTCCTAATCTGTTTTGCAAAAAGCTCTACCCATGCTGTTTCATGACATCATCACAGTGGTTTAGCAGAAATATTCCAGGCCTCTTCCCGTCTCCCTTTCCCCTTCAAACGCCTTCCTATTTGGGTAATGAGTTTCCTTTCTTTCATTGGTGTGAATGGCAACTTAAATTACTCCTATGACTATGAGTTGTTGTTGTTTTTAAATGGGGGGAAACCATTAACAGAGAAATTCAAGATGGCGGGATTGGGCAGAGCCAGAAGGACAGAAATTATCTGGAAAGGTGGCTGGCATCCATTTCTCATCAAGTTATTAACGCCAACCCATTCTGGATTCTCCAGACCAGGTCTAGACTTTCTCTGCCAATCACAGTTCACCAAGATTGAAAATAAACATGTTTGCTTCGAAATCCACATTAGCACACAAACTTAACCTTTCACGCTCCACAGAGTCCTGTCATTAAGTGGAACTGAATGGCAGCAAAAAGGAATCTTCCAAGTGCCATTAACGTGCAACAGAAAATGCTTTGTAAGAAGGAGCTGCGGTCATGGTGGCCTTTTCAATCTGCTCAGGGATTTTACTTCAAAAATGCAGAACAAACCTGTATTTAGCAAGACATCAAAATGGTAAAGTCACATACAGAGATGGGTGAAAGGGATCCGTAAACCCTCTAGAAGTTTGCCAGTTCTCCCCTGCAAATGTCTCGAAGGTTGGTTTTCACCCAGCTGGGTTGACTTCCATTTTCTGACACCTGGCTGGGGGAAACCAAGGTGTGTGAGCATTTGTAAGGGAGAATGAGGAAACGAGGGAAGATTAAGCACTTCCCCTCCAGCCCACTGGTCCCTTCGGATATCCTCAGACCATTTGTATTTGAGGAAAACACTGCACTGGAAACACTGTCTCCCCTTCACAACGGTTCAGTTCAAAGATGGTGGCGAGTGGATCACAGTAGGGGTGATAGAAATGATCGTGTCCCGTCCCACTGCTCTTCAGCATACAACAAAATTGGCACTAGAGACGTTTCTTCAGGCCTATTCGATATTTCGCAACTCCTACTGAAGGAGGAGAGGAAGCCTGACCAGAACTGGAGCAGCACTGTGGCACATGGCTAAAGGAGAGCAGGGGGAAAAAAGGACTTGTGTAGGCTGGAGTCCAAACCCCCCACTTCTCCAAAGGCAGTGGGGGTTTCTTTCTCATCTCTCACGTGTCCCACACCCTTCCGCAAAAAGATCACAAAAGCTGCACCAACTCTGTTCCCCAAACTGACTTACATTATTAAGCTGAGGTGGCGGCGGCGGCGGGTCCTGTTATGCAAATGTATCTGGAAAATTGGCTTCTCTGGGGTGTAGCCCTGGCTTACAATCCTGCACTCCACGGTGTATGCTCACGACAGCCAGTGCCTCCAGCTGGGATTAACCACACAGAGCTGGGCGTAGGGTTGTAGATCAGATGCTTAACTCACACAGAGAAGCCTCATGTTTGGGGGGAGACTCTGAAGTTCAGAATCCTTCCCTCCTCTCCCAAGAGACAGGTTGAGGATCTGGCCCAGCTGTGATGATCCTGAATCATGCTAAAGTAAAAATGGGGGAGGGGTGGAGGAAAGAGGGGAAACAAGCCCAGGATTTGGTGATAATGAAGCTTCAACATCTTCTTAACATGCTGTTATCATATTTAAAAGGCTAGAATCAAAGTCACAAACAAAAGCAGCTAAAAATTGCAAACCCAGAAGTGTGAACATTGCTGTGGAATATTTGTAGCTGTGTCAAAAGAATTCAACACCATCTCTTCCCCCTGCCCAAGTTCCTCTGAAACAGCTGTTCAATAGCTCGTATGGGGGGAAAAACCTGAACAGACTGTCCGTATCAAAATACAAAAGTACTATCAAGAATCGCCTCTGACTTTCGAAAATTTAAATTCAGTGCAATTGACATAAGTGTTGCTAAAGGAAAACTGCTGTTTAAATATACTTTAAAAAAAACAAAACAAAACACACATTTGTGTCTATTCCTGGGAGCAGAGTTTAAAATTATTGCACAGATTTTTATTTTTATATTTTTAAAAACTTTTAATTTTTTTTTAATAATGACAGAGGTCAGCCACAGTCCTGAACCTCTAGTAATAAAAAGCAAGATTTTCAAGTGCCAGATACTCAACTTACATATTGTAATTCACAGGGAAACTGTCCTGAACATCTTGAGCCTATTCCCAAACTCTACAAATGGCTAGTACAGAACCATAACAGATGAGTGCCCCTAACAGATACGAATCGTCCTTTTGTTTTCCTCACAATGGTCTGTATAAGAGTATAATACCCCATTCATAATAACTGGGGTGTGCATATTAAAAGGCTAAAATGGTTACCGTGCTTTAAGGGCTGAATGTGACTGGCTTTCATGGATGTGGAAATAAGAGATCTATATTGAAAGGACAGCCTGGTTGAAAAAGGATGATGAGATGTTTTCTCCACGTTAGCTGAATTTACAGGGAGCTATAAAAATAGGGCAGAAGTTGCACATTACGGAAGGACATGGGACTGCTGCTGAAAATGGCAGCTCTGTGTCACACCCCCGCCCCCACAGTGTCTACTTCAACTTACAGAGCGCCGTTACAAATGGGTGTTTCCCCTGCCCTCCCCAGTCAGAAATAGGTGATATTGAATTAGGCGTTGCGGAGGAGGAGGGAGTAGCTTGACACAAGATTTGCCATTTTCCAAGGCAGCACCGCGTACTCTGCAATGCACGAATCCAACTACAGAGAGGAAAACAACCGAGATTTTTAAGTACGGCATTTGTGAACCAGTTCACTGACACTGCGACGGCGATATAAAATCTTCTGCAAAGCTACTGAATATAAAATCGCTCTTTTAAGTAAAAACTGGGCGAAATGTTAAAAACCAGACAACCTTCCTTTACGAAAAATCAACAGCTGCGGGAAACGTGATGCAACAAGAATATTGGCCAAAGTCCACCTTCGCGCTATTTTTACTGAAACGACCCTGCTAATGGTATTCCTTTTAATCAGTCATGTAAGTAAATGACTGTTTGCCAGTGATGGCCCTGGCCATGAAGAAAGGAAAAACAACACTTGTTATCAGAAACAAAGAGACGATATAGTAGTGACCATATTTCTTCCCCTAAAAACAAATAGCAGCGTATGCTTATCCTAAATGTGGAAGGAAAAATAAATGTCACAAGCACATACAAAAAAAATTAGGAGACGGGAGCAGCAGGGTGAGATTAGTGCAAGACTTTTTTGTTTTGTTTTACAGAAGCTCAATCACTCAGTATTAAAATAAACTTGAAGCAAGTCCTTTGATGGGCGCAGATCCCCTTCCCCCTTTCCTTTGAAACCTAAGAGGCACTGTCATTGGACACTTTTGTCAATGAAAGCCTTATTGAGTAGACACTGCATTCCACCCCCAGTTCATTTCCATTGGATCTTTAGGGACTAAACTTCTTGTCTCTTTATGAAAGTATTAGGAAAGAGACACCAAAGTTAGTTTTGTAGAAAGGAAAGAGGGGGAAAAAACCCTTTTAATTTGGAATTTGGTCGTGCTAGACATCTAAGCGCCGCCGATTTCAGAACAGGTAACAGAAGCTGAGGCAGCGAAGCTCACGCAGGAGTATTTAAACATGAACCAAACGATTTTCCCCCTTCTCCACTGTGGCATTTCTTTTCGCAGTAGTGCGCGCACCTGAATCACAGCTGAAGCTCTATGGATTCAAAGGAATAGACAAAAATATATATATAATCCTTTGATACTGTAGGCATCTGATGTTTGTGGCACATCTGCCGTGGGGGAACTGAGGTTACTCATGCCCCATAGCACACCGACCCTTCTATAGGTTCAGGCATACAAAATGGAATCTCGGTATGCAGACATGAACTCTAGTGCTTGAACATCATGGGAGGATGGTTATACCATGAGAAGGGGGCATGATGCTACTCAGCCATCCCAGATCTGCCTAAAACCTATTGTTCCCCCTCTGCTTATTCTTGCCTCCTTTTAAATGTTCTGCTTGGGAGAACTGTGCCTCCAATAAGAAATGACAGCTTTCGGGGGACTGTTGACATCATAGAGAATCTACCCACCCTGCAGGCTGTGAAAAACACATCTTACAGCTTAAAGGAAAGATGCAGTGTCATTCTTCAAACGGTCCTGCTTTCCGTCCCGCCCTTTCCCGACTAAGCCGTGCGTTGACGTCTGCAACGCGCTCCAGATGCCTGCGACTTTAAAAATAATGCATTCAAAGGACTACTGCAAAATTTCTTCCCCCTCCTTCAATTCTGCATCAAAAGAACCGCCGCTGAGAAAACGATTCACGCCTTTTTTGCTTTGTGCATTAACAGAAACCATACAGGGTTGACTGGGGCAGGGAGAGGAAGAGGTTTTAAAAAGCAAGCAACAAACTAATGTTTGCAGGAGCAGGCGAGTCCATTTCCCCCCTGTACACGATAAACTGCTCATCACCTACTGAAAGGGGGGAGGGGAGCCAAAAAAGAAGGGGAAAAACCCCAAACTCCAATCTTTCAAAGCATTAGAAAGGGCGGAGGGGAATAGCGGAGTAGAAAACAAAATCTGTAGCTTTTGGTACACTGAATGGTCTGTTCTTGTACAGTCATGTTTCTCTCTCTCTTGTCCTGGATGGTTTGTTTTCCCCCCATTTCCAAAATGCCTACGTGTTATTTTGGGAGGGGAGGGGAAGGGGGGGGGGACACAGCAGATTCCAGCACTTGGTGAACAGGCTTCACAAGCTGTGACAAAACTCTGTCATCATCTTCTTCGGGGTGTAATCTTTTTCTAAAAAATTTTTGCTTTTTAATATACAGTATATGTATATAATTCTTTCGGGTTTGGCTGTAGTGGACTGGCCATGGTTCAGTTGGGACTATAGCAGTACATGGGTCAAGGGGACAGTCATTTTGGCTATGTACACATTCATAGTCGGTCCATGGCTTCCAACTAGTAGCGCTATTTCCGGAGGTCTAGTACACAAACCTGCAAGGGGGGAGAGAAGAAGAGAAGGCGCCCGGTCAGAAAGATGAGGCTTGCTGAGTTGGCCCATCATTACAAATGACTTCTTTAAAGGGTTAAATAAATACTAAGGAGAGAGGAGTGGGGCTGCGGCTCAGTGGTCCGGCATCTGTCTCCCATGCAGAAGGTCCCAGGTTCAATCCCCGGCATCTCCCATTAGAATGATTAGCGAGCCAGTGATGAGAAAAGACCACAGTCAGAGCAGATGGTGCTGACCTTGGTAGCTCGAAGGCCTGTCTCCCATTTAAGGCAGCTTTGGGAGGGCTTCCTCAGTGGCTTCAAGCCATTTTAGACAGAACCCTAATCTGGGGGCAGGAGGTGGATACTGCCATGAGGCCCTGATTGCGAATCTCTCCATGGCCCTTGGGGCAAGGGAGCTATGGCAGAATGGCAGAACCACTCTGGAGTCAACCTGCATATTCAGTGGCAGGACACCTGTTCTGTACACAGAAGGTCCCTGATCCAGGCCCCGGCATCTCCTACTGAAGCCCCAACCTTTCTGAGCCGGCAGACCCTTTTGGAATTCTGACGTAAAATGTGGCGGGGGCAGCCCCAAAATGTCTACCGCCGCTTAGATTCAATCACACATAGAAGATGCTTGGGCTGCCACCGCCAAAGCAACGTTTACCTAATAGGTGACAATACCATATATTCAAGGGGTACACAAACTGGGACAGTGGTGCCTTCCTTTTGAGGGTACCCCGGCCAACACTGACAATTACATGGACGTTGCTTTACAAGATCCCCCCCTGTGACTTATAGAGCCGCTTTCTCAGTTAGCCGTGTTTGGCCCTCTGGGCTTCTCTGCTTTGCTAATGAGTAAAGGCCGCAAGGTAAGAAGCAGCTCCAGAGTCCCAAGCTTGTTTCTACCATCGCTTTCTCTTTTAAAAGGTGTGACAACCTGAGACAGACATCATCTTCTCTGTGTGGCAAACGATATGATGGCAGGTAACTTTTTGTTCCCCGGGCTGATGCAAGTACGCAGAAATAGCGCACGGTGCCAAGCTTCCAGGACTGTCTCAGGTTGGACCAGAAATGGGGGCTGCCTTGCTGGCACACTCCCATGCGTCAAGTTCTCCTTGTACATGGAAAGCAGATGTGCAGGGGAAGGGGGGGTTTGGCCTAGCCTTCTTCTCGAAGTGCTACCTTTCCACATGTCAATGAAATCTGGAACATTTAAGCACACAGTCCGTTACGGAGATTTTTTTTTAAAAATGCTTGTCTTGGGAGATTCTTTGTGGGAGGGAAGTGCTAATGAATGATTGGCTTCTGGATCCCTGACCATTCCTATGGACACGGCTTATCCCATCTGCCAAGCCTCCAGCTGACATGTAATTTGAAATGCACCCGGCACATGCCCAGCTATGCTGCATTACGGGAGGGACAAACGGGAGACACCGTTCTGGTCTACTTACTGAACCGTCTGAAGCGCTCGCTCCAACTTTGTCTCCTGCCGCGTTCCAGCAAACCTCGAAAATGCCTCCTGTTCCCCGATAACTATGAACTAAAGAACCCGTCTAAAAAGGGTGGGGGGGGGAGGAGGAAAAGAGAAAGCAGTGAGATGATGATGACGGCACGTACTTACGAGTCGCTCTTCAGTCAGAACGTGTTTTGCAGTAATGTATGAAACAAAAACTAAATCGAAACAGATGCTGAGAGATCAATTTTTAACTGATAAATAGAAGCTTGGGGACAGAGGGAGTTCAAACTAAGGCTGCAGCATAGGAGCTTAATCCCCCCCCCCCAATGCCATTCTTCCAAACTGGTCCACTGGGGCAATCATACAGGCAAGAAACAGGGGACTCCATGTGTCCCCCCCCCCACCATGGCAGTTTGGAGGCAGGCAAGCCTCCCCGCGGAGAGACTTCCACGACCAAGAAGGCCCCTCTTCCAGGTTGCCACCCGCTGAATCTGTTCCACTGCCCTGTGTGTATCTTAGGCGTCAGCTTCAGAAGGCCTGTCTCCTGCTGCCTGATTCAGTGAGATCAGACCTTCTGGGAAATGCAGCCATTGCTCATCCTGAATACAGCAGTGCTCTATCTCCTCCCTCAAGCGGAGGCTGTCACAAAGAGCACCGAAGACAAATGCCTTCAAGAACGGAAGCCAAACGAACAAGGACTCCCGCAGGCTGGATGGAATTGCCCAGAGATGGAGGAACAGAAGCGATACAGGCACATTGCGTCTATCAACCATCGTCCTTCACAAAACCCCTTCCAAGTTAGTAAACAGGCCTGTTTAATGCAACATCATTCAGTTTCTCCCGTTAAGGTGCGGGCTCCCAAGAAGCAGGCCTACCTGTGTATTCCAGATGTGTACACATTTGTCGAAGGAGCCGCTGGCCAGGTACCTGCCATCAGGGCTGAAAGCTACACTGTACACAGGCTCTTGATGTTTCGTCAAAGTGTGGATGCAGATCCCTCTGTCTACATCCCATAACCGAACTGTAGAGTCAAAGGATGCACTGCCAGGGAGGAAAGAGGAAGAAAAAGTTTAGCTAGCTCGTAATTGAAAAGGAAAAGCTCAAGTTGAATACCCACAGCTGTTCCTTTGATGCAAGAGAGGGGGAACCTCTCCCACCCACCCCCCGCCAAGAACTATCCTGGGGATCGTGGGACCCGCTTAGACACAAACTCATACAGCGGAGAGCTGCAAGGAATCAAATTAAATCATTCCCTTTGGTGCCAACAAAAATGTTGGTAAAATAATCCAAGTAAGGACCCCGAGGACAAATTTTTTTTTGGGGGGGGGGGGGGATGTGCAAAGTAAACCTTGTCTCTCCTTATGCAGCAACTTGATGCACTGTTACCTTGCTAACATAAGATTGGCATTAGGGTTGTTTGTTCCAGGCCCTGTAGGACTCCACTTGATAGTATAAATTTCTTTGTTGTGTGCTTGTAGATCGTGGACACAACTATCCTGTTTCATACTCCAGATCTAGGAAAAGGACAAAAGGAAGAAGTACATGTCAAGTACGGTCTGAAGGCACAAGGAGACAGGATCTAGACACTTCCATGATGGGACATCACAAGGACGCCTTTGAATTCCTTGTAAGATAGGTGGGCTATAGGTGTAATCCATGTACCATGGATGAAGGCTTTCCCTAGAGATACACCAGTTCTCGTTTCTGCCAAGAAGATGGCAGTGCTTTCTCCGCATACACTCACTTCATGCACTAGATGGGATAAGCCATTAAAAAGAAACGAAGAAATAACAAAATTTCTGTTTGAAATGAAGTGACTTTTCTTTGGGCTTACACTTGTGAAATCCCACACAGTGGCCTTGGGTTTGTCACTGCTGTCACCAGGAAACACAAAACATACAGGCAAATTGACAGTGTCATTCTGAGCAGAGTTACACCCTTTTAAGTCCACTGACGTCAGTGAGATTAGAAGGGTTGAATGCTGTAAGGTACTCTGTCTTTAGTTTGCCATGATTATAAGGGGGAAATTCCTGAGGAGGGGTGGGTGGGTGAATGGCTGAGTGTATGAACTGCTCTCTATTGTAGGTGCCGTAATTCTTTCCAAGATACCTCCCTGTCTAGGGATGACCCTGAGCCTCACTGTGCCAGCTTGCTTTTCTAGATAAAGAAGATGTATATTCTCAGCTGGTGGTGGGGGTAGTGAATGTGGACTGCTAGGCGGGATGGCTAAGACATGTGATTGGTTGTATGGAAAGGGGGGGGGGGCTTGTTTGAACTGTCTATATCTTTGGATTTCCCCACCAGAACCTCAGTTCTGACATGGTACTGATCTGGCTTGGATTATTATTATTCTTCAATAAACAAATCACTGCCAAAGAGAGTGTTGTGGAAAGTAACTCTATCCAGGAGTCTGACACTTTGCCCCATGAATTTTAGGCCTAATTCACACATGCGATTACCACCAGAGCAGCTGCCAAAACTCCACTGTGTGAAGAGGCTGTGCATGAGATTGCACAGAACACTGTCAAAGAGAAGGGGATGTGGGTTTTTTGTTGGGGAAGGGTTAGTATTTTGTGTGTATGTGTGTGTGAGGGAGGGAGGGAGGGAGGGAGAAAGGGAGGGGAGGGAGAGAGCGCGTACCTGGAAGTCATGGTGACTTCTGGCAACTCCTAGTGGGGCTAGGATGTTTCAGAGAGGTGGCTTGATATTACCTGCCTCTGCATTCTGGCCCTGGTATTCCTTGGAGGTCGCCCTTCCAAGTACTTGCCAGGGTCAGCCCTGCTTAGCTTCTGAGGTTTGACGAGATCGGAATTGCCTTGGCTATCCAGGTCAGGGCAAGGGGTTTTCAGACCTTGGTAAGTTTCTCAAAACGGCACATGGAGCTGAACACATAATACATGAAGCTGCCTTATATCGAATTGGTACATCAAGGTGGCTCAAGTGGTTAAGACGCTGAACGGCAGGCTGTGGAAGGTTGAGCAGTTCGACCCGAGTGCTGCATGACGGAGTGAGCTCCCGTCTCTAGTTCCAGCTCCTGCCAACCTAGCAGTTTGAAAGCAAGAAATCGCAAGTAGATAAATACCACTTCAGTGGGAAGGTAACAGCGTTCTGTGCGCCTTGGTGTTTAGTTATGCCGGCCACATGACCACGGAAACATCTTTGGACAGCGCTGGCTCTTCGGCTTTGAAACGGAGATGAGCACCGCAACCCTAGAGTCGGATTCGACTGGCTTTCGAGCAAGGGAACCTTTACCTTTACTTACATCAAGGTCAATATTGCCCACTCGGACTGGCAGCGGCCCTCCAGGGTCTCAGGCGGTCCCACTGCCTGGTCCTTTTAAATGGAGATGGTGAGGATTGAACCTGGGACCTTCTGCTCTACCACTGCACCACAGTGCCTCCCAGTTGCTTCACAGAGACTTATACAAGTCTTAAGTTCCCAAAGTTTTTACAGCAGGACACCCTTCTAAACTTGTTTCTCTTTTTTGGGGGGGGGGGGGGTAAGAGAAAAATGCAGGAATCTCACATCAGTCAACACTTAAAAAAAAAAAAGCTTATTTTTCATGTTTACTACTGAACAGCAGTATTTCATGGCGATCACACATTTTGCAGGGGCAAACACGAATCTGCCTTTGAAATCCCCCCCCAAGCCTATTCTCCCAACCCACACAGTTCCTCTTCCTCCCTCCTTACAACCTGCAGCCCACTTTTGGTGCCCCCGGTTTGAGAACTACCAGGCTAAGCAGCAGGGTGATGTGCTCCATAAGAAAAACTGGAAGCTACAAGAAGAGCTTGGTGTGGACTGATGTCTGTGTTAAGTGCTTTCCAAACCCCAGAAGGTGGACTTGAGTCAGTTCAAACTGCTGGCGGAAGGGGACAGCACAAGCAGATAGAAGAGCGCCCGAGACCTTCGTGTGATCAGGAATGGAATTCACTGTCGCGGCCTTTCAACATGGTGACTTTTATCGATGGATTTTTGTAAGATGAAGAAAAACTCATAGAGAAGAGGCCTATCCATGGCTGTGTATGTAAAGTGCTGTTAAGTTGCAGCAAACTTACGGCAACCTCTTATGAGGTTTTCAAGGCAAGACACAAATGGAGGTGGTTTGCCCTCGCCTGCTTCTGCAGAGTGACCCTGGGCTCCCATCTAAGTACTAACCGGGACTGCCCCTGCTTGGCTTCTGAGATGTGGTGAGATCGGGCTAGCTGGGGCCACGAGTCATTATTTAGCCATAATCGCTGAGAATCTCCGATTATCTATAAAGCTGGGAGGCTAGTGCTGGAGACAGACTTGACGGGCTCCTCATCTGATCCAGCAAGACTGCTATGTTCTCTCCCATGACACTAAATTCGATATCACTGAAGGACAACCACAATATCATCAGGACTGGCTGCTTGTAAAATTCCAGTCTGCCAAATGTTTCATAACTTCTTGGTTACAGGTACGTATTGATTCCTGCTAACTACAAATGTGGCCGAGAAAACACAGTGTAAGACATTTATCCCAACTGAGAACCATCCCATCCCACGCTGAGCGTTTACCTTCAGAGTCATGTCGTCAGAACACGATGCCAGAAGATTACCAGTGGGATCCCATTTGATTGCATTTACTTCATTCTGAAATTGAACAGCAAGAGTGAAGCTGACATCTCCACTTCCTCGAAGAGGAACGGTGCCTCGGCAAAGGAGGGCGGGCTCTTTCAGCTTGAACACGACACAGCTTAAGTGAGAGGGGACACTGCCAGAAATGGTGAAGCATCTGGATCAGTGCCTGGCTGGAAGTTTATTCAGAGGGGCTTCACGGGGCCTGATTATTGTAAGTCCAGTAAGGATACAGCTGCAGGCCCAGGGTGATCAAAGAAACATCTGGCTCCTGGCCGAGAGCGTCCAACATTAGGGCTGAGGAGTGGTGGTGGAAATTGCCATCAAGTCGCAGCCCAGTTATAGCGACCCAGTAGGGTTTTTCAAGGCAAGAGGTGAGCAGAGGTGGTTTGCCATTGCCTGCCTCTGGGTAATGAGTCTGTACTTCCTTGGTGGTCTCCCATCCAAGTACTCCCCAGGGCTGACCCTGCTTAGCTTCCAAGATGTGACAAGATGGGGCTAGCCTGGGCCATCCAGGGCAAGGCAGGGATGACGAGACAACCCTTTCAGTGCCACCATTTCTGGACAACAAGGATGCACAGGCTGTGCAACTGCAACTCCCAATGCAACAAACATACAGCACATGATGCTTTCACATCCCTCAACTGGCGATGCTCATCTCACACTCCAGGGAAATGTCAGGTCTGCATTGCAACTAACAGACTCTGGTATCAGCTACAGGGGGCTGGAACAGTCAGCACATCAGCTGCCTTCAAACCCTGTGACGGATGAGAACTTTGCCTTGAAACTGTGCCTCTTCTTACTTTGGTTAACTAATTTATTTGGGCCTGGAAGCCGAGTCATGGGAACGGGGGGGGGGGGGGGGGGGGAGAGACGACATACACACACTCTATGAACCTAGCATGTGCATGTGTTATGCTGCAGATGATGCTTCAGCTGGAAGAAAGGTCACTACTACAGATTCAATTTCTTGCATAACCATTTCTGAAAAGAGGTTCTAGGACACTCTCCAGACTGCTCTCTTAACTTCCTCCCCCCCCCCTTCCCTGTAACTTAACAGTTTACAAGCCATTTATCAAAGTATTTTATAGATAATTTGCAGCTGAATAGATAAATATGGCTAGACTACATGTGCACTTTTAAAAATCTTGCCTGATAGTAATATCTTTAGTTTCTGCTGTTCAGAAATGTTCTGCAGGCAGGCAGTCCAGAGAGTAATGTATCAGTTGTGAAGCAAATTAGGCAGCTAAAAAGGATATGGGCAGTTGAGTCAACTTGATCCTTACAGTAAATACAAAAATGTTTCTCAGGGGGCATTCTACTAAAATGGCCCTTAATCTCAGCGGAAGGTAACGCACTGCATCTAACTAGCATAAAAGAGCGACAATATTTTGGAACTGTCTTAACTTTGTTCCATGCACGCTGCTGGCACTGAGAAAGTGGAGCAAACCAAAAGAAAGAGCAGGACTCACCGTATGGCCCTGGAAGGTTTTGATGGGCTTATCTTGGCCTAACTTACAGACATGAATGCACATGTCTGTGCTACAGGAGGCGAATGTGTTGTTGCTCTGCCAGTCAACATCTAATGCTGGTGCTGTTGACAGGAGGACAAACAAACGAACCACAACCAAGTTAGAAGAAAGCTCTGGTCCACGCAATAGTGATAAGCAGACGGTATCAAGGGACTCACCATCTAACTGGAGGGCAGGCACACAAAGTACTTCCCCCTCCCACGTGTAATAAACTCTTGACCCAACCATGTTTATGTAAAGAAATGTGGCATGTGAAACTGACAGTCACAGATGCAGAAATCCCTGATGCTGTTTCAGCACTGCAACAGCTGTCAAGATTATGGAAAGTGCTGCCAGCTGTGCATGTGATCCCGCTTTGCATTTTGGAAGTGTGTGTGCAAACAGGTACCCAGGCTCTGCTGAACTGGCCCAACTGTGTGACCTGGCCTTTATTGGTCAAGGCCAGAAATGACTCTGGTTGTTAAGACTATGATTAAAGCACCAGTGATGGTTGAAACACAGGGCTATAAAATGCCTGGTTGAAAAAAAATCAAAAGGGATTGTTACAGAACTAGTGGGCTGCAATGATCAGAAGACTGGGGTTGGGGGGCGATCAAAAACCACTTGGCTCTGTTGCGAAAAAGGGCTGTCGTGATATGGACTGTCCCCTTCTGCTCTGTTCCAGCACGCGCTCTGCAACTCACAGGGAGCCACCCTGGCAATGGCCATCAACCCACATCTACGTCCACCCATGGCATGATGTCTGCATCTCTGGAAGGCTCACGGCTTACCCACTCCCCTGGTGGCTGCCGTTCTGAAGTGCAGACTATCTGCCAGCCACAAGCCCCACCAGGCAAAGGCCTTGCTTGCTGTCCTGAGACAGGGGGCAGGTGCTGTATGGGGGGACGGTGCTCAGAGGAGCCACGGGTGGGTATGGCGAAGGGTATCACTGGAGTGCAGGCTCCAGAATTGACTGCACACTCCATTTAGGGACTGTGCTTATAATGTGACAGGGCCTGTAAGCCCAGAAGTCTTCTACTGTAGCCAGCCCACAAAGTTCTAACCTGAGTGCCAGCTGGGGCAGAATTTGGTACTCTTTCTAGTGGGAAACCTAAGGTTCAAATCACTGCTCGGTTACGAAGCTCAGAGGCCTAAGCAAAGTCCCTCACACAGAGCAGCAGAGAAGATACAGAGGGATAAAACCATTTAGCTAATCGTGATTCCCAAGTGTGTGTGTGTGGGGGGGGGGTATGGCACGCCAAGCCAGTGCAGTCTACTGTAAAACTGAGACGTTGGAGACCCAACCCAAAGGAGAAGGGAGAAAGCGATCAGGGCCAGATCATGACCAGATGGAATGCATCATCACAGGCAGTGCACAAGCCAGATACCAAAAATGGTGGAGCCAAGTACAGTTTTATCCTAGCCAAGGTATTCTGTGCAGTGTCAGGTTAGAAGAAAACAAAACCCTAAACTCTTTAAAAAGTTTTCAAAGCAATCAAGATGAACTAAACCCCCCCACCCCAAGAAAATTTGCTTAAATCTTTCCAGCTCTGCTCTGAAAAACTGAATGAAACACATACCAGAATGGAAAGGAAACTGCTGCTTAGCTTCTCCGGTGTGTGCGTCCCAGATAATTGTGGTCTGAAGAAGAAGAAGAAGAAGAAGGATCATAATGTTGCTTTGCAGAACTTGCACGCGGATCACATCTCGTGGACCAAAGCCATTCTGACTCTACATTTTTGGCAGGGCCAGAACTCACTGGTGTTTTTTTTTTTTAACTGATCCAATTTCTTCATGTGTCCATTATCAGGAAGCGAATCTTTGTAACAAATAAGAGATCTTGTACAATTGTACATTTGTATTACAGTGCTCAACAAAATGCAATTTCAGACAAGTCCATTTGATTGGGGTTTCACTGCTTCTCTTTCATAATTTCATTTCAGTAAAAAAAAGAAGTACAGTCTAGATTCTTTTCATATCAAGAAGAGAAGAAGAGAAGAAGCGTTTGGATTTATACCCCACCCTTCACTACTCAAAGGTGTCTCAGAGTGGCTTACAAACTCCTTTCCCTTCCCCTCCCCACAACAGACACCCTGTGAGGTAGGTGGGGCTGAGAGAGCCCCGACAGAAACTGCTCTTTTTCAAGGACAGCTCTTGTCAGAACTACGGCTTGCCCAAGGTCATCCAGCAGGTGGGAGTGGAGGAGTGGGGAATCAAATCCAGTTCTCCCAGATTATAGTCCGCGCACTTAACCACTACACCAAACTGGCTCTCAGTGTTTTCCTTTCCCAAGCAGATAAGCAGATGCCATGGTGCATTCATGCCGCAATTATCAGGGTCCTAACTAATTCCTTATCATCCATACATACACTATTTATAATAAACCCTAATAAAATGAATTTTCACAATTCTTTAAGAACTCCTGTATTGTTTCCTTTGATTTGGAATTAATGAACAACCAATCCTGTGTTGCCTTTTACTCCTTTGCATTCACTTAATTAGCTCCTCTCCCTCCAAATATTTTCAGGCTGCTATGGCTTCCTTGAATTGCACCCTAGAGCCACATGAGATGTTACATACAACTGGGAATATGATGCTCTGGGACTGGTAGGCTGAGCTCTAGTGCAATTGCTGTGCTCCACTCAGTTCCTTGGAATCAGTTTCAGGTAGGTCTGGAGTGGAAGAGCAAGATTTGAACCCACTAGCACCTCAGTAACAACAAGACTTCTAGTTATAAAGCTTTGGCGGGCCAAAGCTCCCTTTCTCAGATACTGATAAAGGAAGCTTTGATCTCAACAGCCTTTGCCCGGGAAATCTTATTGGTCTCTAAGGTGCCACTAGACTCGAGCCTTGCTCTCCTTGGAACTGCATCCCTTCTCTATGTATTCTTCCTCCACAGGTGGAGCACAGGATCCTGACTAGCTACCCCAGCAAAGGGCCAGTTTGATGAAGTGGTTAAGTGTGTGGACTCTAGTCTGGGAGAACCGGGTTTGATTCCCCACTCCTCCCCTTGCAGCTGCTGGATGACCCTGGGTCAGTCATAAGGTCTGCCAGAGCTGTTCTTGAAAAAGAGCAGTTTCTATCAGAGCTCTCTCAGCCTTGCCTACCTCACAGGGTGTCTGTTGTGGGGAGGGGAAGGGAAAGGAATCTGTAAGCCGCTCTGAGATTCCCGAGTGAAGGGTGGGGTATAAATCCAATCTCTTCTTCTTCTTAAGTCTGAGCAGTTAATGTTGCAACTCTAGTTTCTAAGTATACTCTTAACAATATATGCCATATGTATATGTTACAAGCAAAAGTAGTGGACATGCATATTAATTATTTACTTCATCTATACCCCACTTTTCTCCCCAGTGGGGTCCCAAACCAGCTGACAATTCTTCCCTTGTCTAGAAAAGATAACTGTAGGCCACTTTGGGCCCCCACTGTGTAGAACAGTGGGGTATAAGTTAAGAAAATGAACATATTAGAGAGTTGTGATAGGTTGAAACTCACTGTAGAGTTTACAACCAGGGCATAAACCAAAGTTTGCCACGGTGCAATATATAAAATGGCACCCTGTGAAATCGCACATAAACACCAACTGGGTTTGATCTGTGTTCTAGTCTTAAGCCGCTCCAGTAACAGGAGATTTCACCTCCTCTTATGACTTCATTATTTGACAGTCCTTCTTAATACCAGAGTGAATTGTGATTTTCATTGGCATTAAGAGATCACATCTGTTGTCTGCAATGCATATAAATCACCTGCTACATTCAGGGCCTGATTAAGCAACAGCAAAGGTGGCTCTTGCTAAACCTGGACAGTTTTACTACCTTTTCGGTGCCAACAATACCTATCGTGGCTTGATTACCTCTTAATTAAACTGGCAACAATGAATTTTAACAAGCCAAATGTGTTCTCACCTTGTCCACGCCTGCACTTAAAATGAAATTGCCTTTCTTGTTCCATTTTAATGCAAATATGGGACCTTTATGTTGCCCTAACGTGCTGGCGAGGTTACCTAAAAATTAAAAGGAAACACTTAGAAAAATGTGAAGAAGAAAAAGAAGGAGGAGGAGGAGGAGGAGGGAGGGAGAGAGGGAGGGAGGGAAAAATCGACAAAACACGTTCTGGTGTAAAACTCAAAGCAGAAAAGCAAGCTCTCCACTCACCATCTTTAGTCCATATCCTTGCAAATCCATCATATGATCCCGTTGCTAGAAGCGTACCTTCACTCTGTGGGGCAAAAGTAGAGATTTGTAGCATTCTCACACGGACTCCAACTACGCAAACCAGAACCTTCATACATAATACTCACTTGGCTATAACTATATCCTGAGCCATGGGACTGCATACTATCGAGAGCAAAGGGAAGATACCTCATGCTCCGACAGTGAACTTTTTGATCTGCTTTTCCCACCAGCACGGAACAGGTATCAGGACAGACATAAGAAAATACTTCTTTTCATGTGATGCATAATTAACCTATAGAATCTGCTCCCACAGACTGTGCTCACAGCCACTGACTCAAGTGCCTTAAAGAGGAATTAGTCCACTGGAGGACTGGTCCATTGACAATTAATAGCTGTGAAGGCTAAAATGGAAACTCCATGTTCAGAGGCATTATACCTCTGAATACCACTTGCTAGGCTAAAGCTCTCGCCTTCAAGAGGCTCAACAGGGACATCTGGTTGACCACTTTGGGAAATGGGATGCAGGCCTACATGGATATTTGGTCCGATCCTGCAGGGCTATTCTTAGGTTCTGAAGTCCCTAATTAGACTTGATGAGCTTATCTTTTGATTGTTTTGTTGATAACACTGTAACTCAGGGTCACTATAAGTTATGCTTGTTACCAACACCATTTAATCTTCGCCATTTATTGTTCCCACCCCTCTCTGTTTTATTGACTTAATTCTGCCGTCCAGGGCCACGTGCTGGAAAGTTGAGCAAACCCAGGAGGATCTTGTTTTCCTTCTTGGAATGGCAAACTTCAGCAGTGCATCACACACCATTTCTGAACGTCCGCCGAAGTTTCAAAAGCTATTTGACATTCAAAGTAGGGGGTTGTGTGTCGTGTTTCTTGGAAAAGTCCAAACTGCGCTGAGCGAGTATGGTTCTCTGGGTAATGTCCCAGATACACAAAAAAGGCTGACATTTCAGCAGGCATCTGGTTTTGATCTTATATCACCATGTACACTGAGGGGTGCTATGGCAAAACTAAAAATGGATACCCACAACTCAAAAGTGAATGTTCAGAAATAGCCACCTCCCACCATTAAACGTCCATCAGAAGTGTTTGGAAGCTTTGGGGATGGCTGTGATCGACATTCTTACATAGCAAGGATTTGGCAGAGGAATGGAAAAGTAAATTCAATAGCTCTCCCTAATCTTTCTCCACCTACTGGAATTCTCCTAATCGGAGAGGTTTGGCTAGAACCTTCCCTTTTTCTAGATTTCTATCCTCTGTGTTTTTACAAATAAAATAAACAGTACTCGTATCTAACAGACACTTGGAACACTTGTAGTTTCTGCTTACATTCCAGTCCAAGGACGTCACGTCTTTGTTGCTCGGTACATCTTGGCCCCCTTCTCGTATACAGTGCCGGAGGACCAGCTGCGTGGATCCGCTGGTACTGTTCTCGCTAAGGTTCCATATTCTTGCCGTCGAATCTCCTGATCTGTACGATATTTATATTTATTTATTATTTATTAATTCGACTTATTATACCGCCTTCCCGCAAGCGGGCTCAGGGCGGCTTACAGCATTGGCACCAATTGCCGGCAAAACCATAAAAACATTATAAAACAGTACAATACAGATAAATTCATAAAATCATAATGTGCTATTGATTATACAGTTCATTATTTGCATGGCGTGCTAGAGATGTCTACAACAGCCCAATTCCGGCTCAGTGTCGTCCTGAGTCACTCGATGGAATGAGCCAGATGTTAAAGCTGAGGGCCGGGCTCGTTGATGGTAATAGTGGGGCGGCTCCTAGTTGAAGGCCTGGTGGAAGAGCTCCGTCTTGCAGGCCCTGTGGAACTGTAAGAGACCCTGCAGGGCCCTGATCTCTTCTGGGAGCTCGTTCCACCAGTAAGGAGCCGCCACTGAAAAGGCCCTGGCCCTCATCGCAGCGAGCCTGGCATCCTTGAGGCCTGGGAGGGTCAACCGGTTCTGTGACCCCGACTGCAGTGCTCTCTGGGGTATATGTGGGGAAAGGCGGTCCCTCAGGTATGTCAGACCCTGGCCATATAGGGCTTTAAAGGTAAGCACCAACACCTTGAAGCGAATTTGGTATGCTATTGGCAGCCAGTGGAGGGCCTTCAGCACAGGCTGGATGTTCTCCCATCTAGGTAAGCCCATCGACAGCCTGGCCATGGCATTCTGCACTAGCTGCAGCTTCCGAATTTGCGACAAGGGCAGCCCCATGTAGAGAGTGTTACAGTAGTCTAATAAACAGAACCAGATTGGGGATTTGTTTCAGCTATCTACATAATAACATTAAAGCCTAAATAAAAGAAAAGAAGCCTTAAGGATATTACTATTCCTCCTAAGAAGCTCAAGCACTCCCCCGAATGAACAAAAGACATAGGTAGGTTTTCTTGTTCATGACTGAGCTCAGCATAGGGGCACTTGTATAAGAAACACTCAGATTGGGTTTCGCGTGTCCTTGCCAAGGCCCGTAGTCAGGATTTTCTTTATCCGGAGGGCCTTTATATAAGTCAGGGTGCACCCCACACATACACCTAAAGAAGTGCCTGAGCTGGATGGGAAGTTGGGTGGCCTTGGTGGTAAGTCAGGGGGGCCAGGCCCCAAGATGCCCCACTGTAGCTACGGGCCTATCCTTGCCTATGCTATGATGTTTCATAAACTGTAATTTCCCAGATCAAATGAAACTATTTTTATGTCCCAAGAAATAACACAGCAGCCAGTCGCTTTTTCCCCACTTCAAAGTAGGCTGCGTCCACAGGAAGAAAGCAAGAATACTACATTTCTTTAAGGCTTTTTAAAAAAAGTTTATCAGAAGCTGAACTTTACAACCAAAAGGCGGTGTCAGTTCACAAAAATGTATTTGCCTGAGAACTGCTTGAATTAAGCACATGCAAACAGCACTCGGAGAAGGGTGTGGTGGGGTTAGCTGGGTGACACTGCTCTCTTCATGGAATTGTCAGATAAATCCAAGTGGCATGGTGAAGTCGGCTTCCATAAATAAGTCTGCTGCTCTCATTGTGTGTTAAACAGATAGCTCACAGCCTTTCCTACAAGTGAGCCAACAAGCCACACGTACTGGCAGCTAGGCTTCCTCCAGATTTAGCCCAGAGGCTCAAACAGACCAGATGATTATCACACTTTTCCTAAAATGCAGACTGCAGGTTTGTGTGGCCTTAATTTGCCTCAGGGCTGTGCAAGGAAGAGAAAGGGGGTTTAACAAATCCCCTAACTGTATCTACACTTCCAACTTTGATATCAGCATTTAAAGGAGAAAAATGCATGCTTTGAAATGGAGTGGGGGGAGGGTACGATCCAGTTCCGATTATCGAAACCAAGCAGAGTTTAAAGAGTTAAACTTTCTTTCTATTTCCCACACAACCCCGGGGCAAACTGAGGCTGCAATCTGTATTTTATAGCTGGATGTAAGAATATGGGCTTTGCCATGTCTGTCTGAGCCCTATACAATGACAAGTTCAGCCTTCGTATCCATGACCAGATGTTTGCCTCTGACCGTGGAGGTGATGCTTTTACACACAGTCACATTTCTAAGGGCTTTCGTTCAGACTAAAAGGGTACGTTCTCTGCAACAACACTTAACATTCCCCAGTTCAAAAAGGAAGGGATGTTTTGAATGGCTTTTGAGGAAGCAGATACAACTGCAGTGACAAAGAAGCATCTTGAACGGCTTTAGCGGGGCACATACCCTGAGGCCAGAAGGTCGCTAACGGGGTTCCAAGCGCAGATGAATACTTCGGAATCGTGGCCACGCAGCACCACTGCTTTATTGGGAGGGATTTCAACATCACCGTCCACTTCCATCATATCTGTGTGATTATCTGCATTATTGGGAACAACAAGAGGAGACAGGTATTCCATTATTTTCACACGCATTGGTCACTTCCTGCCTGGAACCCAAAAAGGACTCCTCTGTGCATGCACTGCCAGAGCACGCACCAGACTCTTCCCTGACCTTCCTTGGCTTCCTTAGACCATCAGATTTCCTGTCCCTCTGAGGCACCCGAATACTATACAAAGTCAAAAGGCACGTGTTCTGAGGCTACTCTGGGCCAAACAAGCTCTTTCAATAGGTGGCTGGCGAAACCAAACCTGCTCTAAAGCCACTAAGCCAGTACCGGAGATTAGAGAATGCCAGTGCGGATGTATGGATAGAGCAGAGGTCCCCATTGGGTTGCCAAGTGTAAATTCCTCCGGAGCTGGGGACTCCCGTCCGGCGTCTGTAGCGCGCCGTAGAGTTTTCCCTCGGATGACCGTGGCCCCACCCCCAGCGTCGTCACGTCACTTCGGGGTGAGGCGCACGTCGGGGTGGGGTTCCCCCCAGGGCCCGATCTGCCGCCGGCGGGGAACGGGCCTCTGGGGCGGGGTTTTCCCAGCCACCCGAGGGGACTTGGCAAGCCTAGGTCCCCAATGTGGCGCTCGCAGGTGCCACAGTGCCTGCCAAGTATATTTAGAAAGCAGGCAGGACTAGAGATGGGGCTTCCTCTAGCAGGGCTTCCGTTTGGCCACTGGAGATGTGATTGGCTGGGCAGATGGCTCTCCATTGCGTGACTGAGGGTAAGCGGCAGTTATGAGAGGAAATTTTTAAAAACAATGTTAACTTTAAAAGGCATCCTGAAATTTTAAAAGGGTTTCTGCCTGAAATGTTCAAGATTTACTATTAGAGTAATGTATAACCTCACTCGCTGACATTTTGTGGCTGGCTCTGCCTCTTGCGGCAGCCATTTTGTGTTTGCGCTCACTGCACTGTGTCAGATTTACAAAGCCTGCAGGTTGGGGGCCCCTGGGATAAAGTACTGGTTTCAGACATGGAGGGATGTGGATTCGAATCCACCCCCTGCCATAAATGGCAGGTTTGAAATGTTAACCGATAATAAGATTGGTTTGTGGCACAGCTGACGGTGATGTGTGCACCGGATGTTAATTTGGTCTTGTGAAGCAGGTGTAAAAGTAAATGGATTTCTCAGGGGGTTGAGAGAGGGAGGCCCCCTCTTGATCTCGCAGATCAGGATAGGATATAAAACTTTACAGGGACAAAAATCAAACTGCTAACCCTCTTTCTCCCCCTGTTATAGATAATCAGTTGTTTTACCAGGCAGAGGGGCTTGACCCAAACATAGTTGTGTAACATGGACTAGTCACAAATTAAGGAACCATGTAGTGTATATCTTGCAAGGAAGTTCATATTAGAGCTATGCATTGGGTCATTTGTAAAGAGAAACTCACAGCCAAGACTATCCTGCTTTTTAGTTTATCTTGGATCAAATGTGTGTGTGTGTGTGTGTGTGTGTGTGTGTGTGTGTGTGTGTAAATTAACCTACTGATCCATTTTTAAGATAATGGAGGCCCACATCAACTACAAGCACTGCACACCAATGTTCCCTCTAAGCTGTAGAGTCTTCTGAGCAAAAATTTTACTTTCTGAGCTCCTGGCATGAAAGTTGTGAGTGGGTGATTTGGCTACTGCATAAATTAGTTTGCTCTGGATCCATCCTCCCCGAGCGAAGACAAAAATCTGTGAGCCAGAGGCTAAAAAACTGTGAGCTGGCTCATACTAACTCAGCTTAGAGGGAACACTGCTGCACGCCTCCTGAACAGCTCTAGAGAGAGGCTTCTGCCCACGTGCAGAAATACAGGAGCAGTTATTGCTATCTGGAACCCAGCAGCCATGAAAGCCCTTAGTTCTTCAGAGCCAGAAGGAAAGCAGGAATCGTTTGCATTTCCAGCCAGTAGGGGTGGCTGGAACACCACAGTCTCACTACATTAGTGCTGGCTCTCCAGCCTGAGCTACAGCACACGGTTGAGCGTGGAAAAAGAAGGAAGGCATAATTTTTATTAAAATAATGTGCAGTTCTGTAGGTTTCACACATACAAAATGAAGTGCTAACCTGTCAAAACCCACATAAATAACAGTCACGCACCATCTGATGCTCCCAGACCATCCCAAGCATCTGTGACAACCCAGGACCAAGCTTTGCAGTACACTGGAGATCGGTGGGGTGATAGGGGATTTGGACTGAGGATGCTGTACTGCTGAAGGGTGGGTTAACCCTGCTATTAGCCGTGAAAGGAGAAAACAGAGATGTGCAATACAGTTGCCTGGGCTTTCTTCCTCTGCCATTGCTTACCAAGGATGGCTAATTTCTATGAGGTCAACAGGGTGCGTGATGGGGGGGAAAGGTTAAGCCCTCCCAGAACACCAGAGCCCTCAGATCCAATCTGACTTCACATTATGTGCAGCTGGACCCTCCTTTTAATGAAAATTCCCCTACATTGTCACAGCACTGCTACCTCCCCCATCTGCCTGGGTCAGGGGTCCCTAAAATGGCACCTGCCAACACCTTTCTTGGAGCCTGCCAATCGTTTTTAGAAAGTGGGTAGGGCCAGGTGGGGCTCTTCTGATTTGCCACTGAAGACCTGCGTGGCTATGCAATTAAAACAACACTGTTTCAGTGGCTGCTGCAATCACAGCGTTTGTTTCATTCTCTCTCAATGCTCTCTCCCAATTTATTTTTAATTACCCTTCTTCTCCCCTGCACCGGAGCTTCCTCTGGGTGTCTCTCTGCCTACTGCGGCAGCCATTTTGTGGTTGTGCCCCCTGACCTGTGCCGGAACTCCAAGGTTCCAAAAGGTTGGGGAGCCCTGCCCTTGAGGGTTATGAGCTGCTTCACACATTACAGAGTATAGAGCAGGGGTGTCAAACATGCGGCCCAGGGGCCGGATCAGGCCCCCCAGATGGCTTCTATCAGGCCCGCAAGGGACTGGCTGTCTCCTGCTTCTTCCTCCAGTTCTGCTGCTGCTGCAGCATAGCTTGCTTTCCCAGACACTCTCAATCGTTCAGGGGAGATAGATAGGCAAGCTTCTGCTCCCTGCACTGGGCTGAGGCCCCTCCCCCTCCCCCTCCCAGATTGCTACAGCAGACATTTTAATGCAATAATTCAGAGCAAGAAGTGTCAGTCATCAGAGACTGTTAAATAAACAAAATATTGCAAGAATGCTAATGTTTCGAGCATGTTTGCGTCCTTTATCAAGTTTATAACTCCGCTACCTGGCATTACATTTTATGACACACACGGCCCGGCCCAACAAAGTCCAATTTATGTCAAATCTGGACCTCCATAACAAATGAGTTCGACACCCCTGGTATAGAGGCTGCGTCTGGGGGCCCTCCCCTGGACAGACATAACACTGTCACACTTGAGCTGTGGGTTCAAGTTGTGCTACTAGGCCTGTTGGGGAAAACCGCAAGTATCCCAGGGATCACATAGATTTCCCCAAAGAGGACCTGTTTGGGACTGTTTCAGGCAGCAAAAATGGTTGTGGGGTGAAGCTGAAGCCCCTTCTCCAGGCACGATGGTCCTGATCCTATTTGGTCTCTGCACACACAGGCATTAAGGAGAATCCACAACTCATGTGTGATTATGTTATGTCTGATTAAACCTGGGCACTCCGTAATATGTGTAGATGACATCCAAGACACATTTACTTGTTTATTTTAAAGGGCAAATTCGAGCCACGTTCCCGCAATAACCCCACACGGCAAGTCCAACTGTTGGCCAGTTTGCCCCCCCCTGCTGCCAGTTTTATTTCTGCCAGGGTATAGCTGTAGAACTTGTTTTGAACATCAGAGCCAAACTTGGAATTTTGCAACGTAACAAGCACGTGGCCCGGCCCTAGACAGCCCAGGCTACCCCGATCTCCTGAGATCTCAGAAGCTAAGCAGCATCACCCTTAGCTAGTATTTGGATGGGAGACCCCCAAGGAATAAGGAATACCAGGGTTGTGACACGGAGGCAGGCAATGGCAAGCCACCTCTGAACAGCTCTTTCCTAGAAAACCCCACCGGGTTGCTGTAAGTCAGCTGCGACTTGACGGCACTTTCCACCACCACCAATGAGCACATGCAGAGCGCTTAACACCCTCACCACGGATTAACCAAAGCCCAGTCCTTCACACTTTTATCTTCACAACAACTCTACGAGGTAGGTTAGCCTGAGACAGAGTCACTGTCCCAAGGTCACTTCACGGCAGAGTGGGGATTTTAACGGGCCTCCCCAATCCTAGCTCAGTGACCATACCCAGTGGGCTCTGTGTGATAAAGGCAGCGCAGAGGGCTTCCAAGCGGGCTTAAGCTCTCAGCCCCTCCCCCAGAAGTCAAAGCCCTTCCTTCTTGCAGAAATTAAACAAGATGCTTGCAGCTTTCAGCTCTAGCTGCGATCAAACTAGATGACGGAGACTTGGTTGCCCCCTCCCCCTTTTTTTCTCAGCAGCTCCAATCCAGATGGTGGTGGTGGGGAGTTCAAATACAAATAAGATGCAAAACAATCCCTTGCCTGGGCCCTGCTTCGCCTCCAGAGGCAGAGAATTTTGCTTCTTCCCTACAGACCCCAGTCCAGGGGAGGAAATATTTGAAAACTGAAGGCATTCTGAAGATGGCACTCTCCCGCTTCCTCTGTCTTCATTAGCTACCCAGTTAGCTGACAGTGCCATGCCTGAGATGGCTCACATCCTCATCCCTTGCTGACTCACTGCCGACCTAGATGTTACCAAGGAAACAGGGAATTCCCAGACCCATATTCCTCTCATAATGGGGAAGGAGGGGGACATCGGCCAGGGAAAACTGCCAGATGGGAGGAGGTCTGCTTTCCTGCCATCACCCCCCCCCCCCCCCCCCCCTTCTTTTTTAAAAGGATTTCTCCCCCCTCCAGTTGGCTTGCTAGGCACTGGGGGAGTTAAGAACATAAGAAGATCCATGCTGAATGCAGGGCCCACCAAATCCAGCATTCTGTTGGCTTATTTAAACCATTTCTATCCCGCCCTT